CAGGCCACAGCGACACATGGATAGATTTAGAGAAGCGTTGGAGGCCTGTGAGCTATGTGACATTGGTTATGAGGGGGACAAATACACGTGGAGGAACCATAGCAAGAACATTGAGTCTTACATCTGCGAGAGGTTGGACAGGGCTACAGCTAACGCCTCATGGTGCGAATGGTTTCCTGAGTTCGTAGTTATAAATGGAGCTCCACGACATTCTGATCACCGACCGGTCATTGTTAATACCCAGGGAGGAGGGAAGAAAATGGAGGGGGGTGACCGCGGCTTCCGTTTTCAGGCCTGGTGGCTGAAGGAGGAGGGCTGCAGCGCGGAGGTGCAAGGCGCGTGGGAGCATGGCTGTCGGGAGGGAAGTGGAGATGTGGCGTCGGCGATGCGATGCGTGGCTGGGAGGATGAGAAGGTGGGGAAAGGAAGTGGCGGGGGAGTTGGAGACCCGCCTAAAGCAAGCACGGCGAAGCCTGGAGAGATGTATGAGGGCTCCGGTGTCCGAGGAGAAAATAAGAGAAGAGGCGAGGCTGAGGTGTGTTGTGGAGGATTTGGAGGATAAGAAGAATACCAAAGCTAGACAGTTATCTCATGTGTCGTGGCTAAGAGACGGCAACAAGTGCACTCGTTATTTCATGGCAGTGGCGTCGGCGAAGAAGAAAGCAAACAGAATTAAAATGCTAAGGAGGGAGGATGGGACAGAAGTGAAGGAAGGAGAGGGGCTAAATAACTATGTTTTCTCTTTTTTTCAGGAACTGTTTACGTCCACTAATGCACATCGCATGGACAAGCTCCTGTCAAAGGTGCAACCGCGTGTGACAGAAGCTATGAAAGCCGTACTTGAAGCGGAAGTAACCAGAGAGGAGGTTAAAGCAGCGCTTGACCACATTGGAGACCTTAAGGCTCCGGGGCCTGATGGCATGCCGTCGATTGTTTACAAGAAACATTGGCACTTCATGGGTGACAAGGTGGTTGACGAAGTGATCTCGGTCCTGAAGGGGGGCCCTATGCCGGAGGGGTGGAACGATACTGTCGTCGTGCTCATCCCAAAAGTGAAAGATCCAAGGAGAATTAAGGATCTAAGACCCATCAGTCTCTGCAATGTAGTGTACAAGTTATGCTCAAAGGTGATTGCCAATAGACTGAAGCTGGTGCTCCCGGAGATTATATCGGATAATCAGAGTGCGTTCGTTCCGGGGCGTCTTATCACCGACAATGTACTCATTGCATATGAACTATCGCACGCCCTGTTGAACAAGAGAAGAGGGGGCGAAGTCATTGCGGCGGTGAAGGCGGACATGAGTAAGGCTTATGACAGAGTTGAATGGGACTTTCTGCGCGCTATGCTTCTCAGGTTGGGGTTTGGGACCAGATGGGTCGATCTTGTGATGAACTGTGTTTCTAGTGTTCGCTATCAAATAAAGATCAATGGTGAGCTTACTGAACAGTTCTCTCCTACGCGTGGTTTACGTCAGGGTGACCCTTCATCACCATATCTCTTTGTCATTTGCGCGGAGGGGCTATCGGCTTTGCTACATGATGCGGAAGCGAACGGACGTATTGGGGGTGTGAGGATTTGCCCGACCGCACCTGTTGTTTCTCACCTGTTATTCGCAGATGATTCGGTCTTGCTGCTAAAGGCGAAGAGGGAGGAGGCAGAGGCGCTGAGAGACATTCTGGACCTCTATGAAAGCTGCTCTGGTCAATGTATAAATCTGGAGAAGTCCGCGATCATGTTCAGTCCTAATGCCAGTGTTGCATCAAAGGCTGCAGTAAAGGATGCTTTGCAAATTCAGAGCGAAACATGGAATGAGAAATATCTTGGGCTGCCTGTTCATGTTGGGAAATCGAGGAGGAAGGCTTTTGCGTTTGTTAAGAACGCTATCTCGGGGAGGATCTACGGTTGGAAAGAGAGATTGATAGCAAAAACTGGGAAGGAAACGCTAGTCACTGCGGTGGCCCAAGCTATACCCACGTTCGCTATGTCTTGTTTTTACCTGACGAAGACCTTCTGTGAGGAGCTTAGTTCATTGATTGGGAACTATTGGTGGAGTCAGCAAGATAAAGAGCACACAACCCATTGGATAGGATGGGATAAACTGACGATGCCAAAGGCGAAAGGAGGACTCGGGTTCAGGGATATGCATGCGTTCAATGTAGCCATGTTATCCCGCCAGGCTTGGAGGCTCATACAACACCCAAACTCATTGTGTGCGCAGATCCTGAGAGCTCGATATTTCCCGGATGGGCAGCTGTTAGAAGCACAGCCAGCTGCAGGTATCTCTTATGCTTGGCGTAGCTTGTTGCATGGCGTCCAACTGGTCAGAGAAGGAGTCATATGGAGGATAGGAGATGGTACAAGTGTTAATATCTGGACCGATCCGTGGATCCCTCGACCCTGGTCGAGGACAGTGATCACACCTCGTGGCCATTGCCTTCTACAACACGTAAGTGAGCTCATTGATCCAGTTTCGGGTGGCTGGGACGAGCAACTAGTGAGAGACACCTTCTGGCATGATGATGTAGCACATATACTCCGTATCCCGCTTATAGATGGAGTCCAAGATTTCATGGCCTGGCATTACGATAACAAGGGGCTACACTCGGTCAAGAGCGCCTACAAACTATATGTCCAGTTGGAGAAAACCAGGAGAGATGGAGGAACTGGGGCGAGTTCAATAACCCCGGGAAATCTGAATCGTGTTGGTGATGATTCCTGGAAACGTATATGGAAGTTACCATGCCCAAGAAATGTTGTTCACGTGGAGGATCAAACACGAGTCTCTCGCGCTTCGTACCACGGTTGCTAGGAGAGGTATCCCGATAGAGGACACCAAGTGCCTGTTTTGCAGCCGGGGAGAGGAGGATGGAGTGCACCTATTTATAAAGTGTAAGGTGGTGAAGGAGGTGTGGAGGGACTTGGGCCTGGAAAAGGAACGCAACGAGCTGGAGAAGACTGAGGGCGTGCATGCAATGCTGGAGTATATTTGGGGGCTAGATGAGAAAAAGAGGCTACATATCCTCACTTTTTGGTGGCAGTGGTGGGCAAATAGGAACAAAGCACGCGAAGGGGAGCTGCCGATCTCACCGGCGGATCTGGCGCGCAGGACGAGGATATCTTCTGTAAGAAAGCAGAGAAGCTGCCCCCTGACAAGTGGCATCCCCCGGCTCCTGACACTTACAAGATCAATGTGGACGGCTCGTTTGTGGCGGGCGAGGAGCATGTTGGCTGGGGTTTAGCAGTGAGGACGGAGGCGGGCACTCTGGTGCATGCACGGGCCGGACAACAGGAGCTTGCAGCGGATGCGTTTGAAGCGGAGGTGACTGCCATGGCCAAAGCGATTTCGACGGCGGCAGAGCTCGGAATGGTCAGAGTTGAATTTGAGACGGACTCACAGCTACTAGCAGATGCCTTGGACATGAGGAGGACGGACTCGACGGCGTACGTAGCTGTTATAGAGGACATGAAATATCAGCTGAAGCTTTGGTTTTCTTTCTTTTCCATTTCAGTTTGTAGGCGCAGTGCGAACTCGGTAGCCCATGAGCTTGCCAACATTGGGCGCTTGTGCGAACCAAACCACTATGTAGAGTGGGAGACTGATGTGCCAGCCCGGGTGGGCGAGTGTGTTGTGGGCGATATGCCTCATCACAGATAAGTAATGAAGCCTTGCTTTGCTTTCAAAAAAAAAAACAAATAGCTTCTTGTTGGAGAACGAATTTTCCGGTCGCCCCAAGCGACTCCGGTGGCAACTACGCCGCCAGCCGAAAATCACCTTGCCAAGACAACTCCTCGCCGCCGCTGGAGGAAGCCACTGGACTGCGGCGGCGGGGTGTCCCTCAGTCCCGCCAAATCAACGAGAGTGATTCACGCTATATGAGCGACGGGAGCAAGGGCAGCAGTTGAGTGCTTTGCAGACCTCCCGTCTGGTACACCGTCAGGTAAGAAGAAATTTGAACTTTTGCAGAAAAAAGAAGAGCCTAAAATATTGGTCATGGTCATTAATCACGACCCAGAATTATGAAAGACCTAATGTCGTCGGCCGCAGTGTTGCCACAGTAGCAAGACATGCTTTTATTTATCGATAATATCTTTATCGATAATATCTTTTGTTTTGTTCAAGCAGGATCAGAGGTATCCGCTTTATTAGGGAGAATGCCCTCCGCAGGGGGTATGACATTGAGAGACAAGGCCCAACCGGAACTGAAAGTCACGATGCCGCGACAAAGCCGGGCAAGAGCCCAGCCGCATTCCTTCAGCTAAAGCTCGTACTCAATTTTCCCACTCTCCCTGCAGAAAAAGAGCAGGAAACTCTGCGGCAAGCAACAAGTACAGCCATGCTGGTGTGAGCCAGCAGCAAAATTCAGGACAGACTAAAAACAACAACATTCAGGACGACACAAGAGGGCATGACAACCAGGCATGCATCACGATTCATCTTAGCCACACGCACACACAAAAGCAGAAATATCAGTTCTCTTCATCAGACGCGAAGTTTCTCCAGCTAGCTGCGGAAAATTCTACCAAGTTTTTACAGGCTAATCATGTCCACCACATGTCAAAGGGGCACTCTACAAATTACAAAAAAGAGACACAATACATCACTCTCTACTGTAGCAGGATTAGCGCCACATCAGCATGTCATGGAACTCCTCTTTGCAGGCCGCAAATACCCCTTTTTCTCAGCGATCAACCGCCGAGGGCTGCAATCAACATAATAAGCACCCGTTACAAAGAGAGCTGAAATCGCAACTGAGAACAAGACATGCATAGACTTGTAAGACACTGGGAAATAATAACAGCAGGAGTAATTCTCGCAACTAAGCTCAATTACTTGCGAATTCAGCTGAGCAATCACAATCTTTCTTTGCTGGACATCTTCATAGAGATTTTCTAATTTGAACTTAAACCAATCTCACCTCTCACACGTATGGATATATGGATTTTAACTAAATATAATTGCCTCTAACCAACCTCACCATGTATGACTATAGGGATTTTAACTAGATATAACTGCCCACAGAGAGAGATGAAGCAAGCACTATTACATATATATTGTAACTGTATTAAGAAAAGGTACATCCAAGTATCCAAAGAACTGAGAAAACAATGAGCTAGGAAAGATCAGAGATTACCTACATTACGTTCCCAGATATTGCATCAAGTCATTGTCATCCAGCAGTTCATCGAGTTCATCGAGGTCAGGGATTGGACTATTAATACCGATGAAATCTAAAGGCAGTCCATCAAAAGAACTGCCTATAAACTTATCATCAGGGTCAATATAAAAAGCATCACTCATGATCTGTTGCGTGCCACCAGCAACAGAAGTTGAATTCCCACTACCTGCCATATGACTGTAAGAACTGTTCAAAGCTCCTGTTCCCATGGCAGGCACATGGTTATCCATAGATAGTGGTACTGAGTCTTTTGCAGCAGAAGACTGGTAATCATGTGAAGAAGAACTAAAGCCAATAGATCCAAGACCAACGTCTGGTTGAAAAGTATTTCCAGGCCAGGAGTTTGTGTAATCATTACTTTCAGAAGCTAATGGCTGGTCGACCATATAAATGCTTGAAGAAGCAATATTTGCAGCCTGGCTGTAATTATTAACCACAACACCAGGGGGTACAAAGTTCCCTTGAACATCTCCTTGATGTTGTAAAGATCCTCCATTTGTACCGGCATGATTGAAGCTTGTCAACGGGTTAGCGACACAGACCACCTCCATCTGATTGCTCTTCATATCCGGAATTGCGTTGCTCAAAACCTCTGGCATATTATCATTCCTTTGTGTTCCTTCAACTTCAGACCCATCAACAGAACACTGTCCGGTATGTCTTCTTCGCTTTGGTGGGTTTTTAGTTTCCTTAGTACTAGGCAGCCTTTGAGTTGAGCGTTTATCATGACGTTTTTTGTTCCCACTACTTGAGCCATTCTCTTCTCTGATGTGCACAGCTGGTTGGTGAACTCCCACATCGTCTTTGGATATTGTAGACTGAGGAGGCTCCTCCATACAATCGACATCATACTCATCACAGCTGCTGTATGAACTCTCATTTTTGTCCCCTAGGTCAACAAGATGAGTATTTGATACACCGTTGCCAATACTGTGAACATACTCCTCTCTTTGCAAAACAACCAGCCAAATCAAGCTCTCTTTTGCAGTCATTTTGTCCTGCAAGCACTTTGACTTCCGTACATGATATCTTATCTTATCAAAATTCGGAGACAAGTGTTTGATCACACCCATCAGCACACCAACCTTCCAAACTTTCTTAAGATCGTGAGGTTTTCTGTATGGAGGTGTTTTACCCTTTGGAAGGCCTAAAGCAATCCACCACTCCTCGTTCCCTGAGGGCCACCATGGGGGTGGAATACCCTTATCCAGTGGGTACTTGCGCTGCTGAGGGCTGCAGTGCTGCATCAATGCAGAAAGCAATGAGCCCAGAGTACCATCTTGGAGATCCATCAAGCTATATTGATTCATGGTTCCACTGCTCTTAGCATTAACCAACAGAGAGTTCTCAACCTCATATTTTGCAATTGCTGCTGGCCCGTTCTTATCAAACTTAACCTTCTCCTTCCACCAAGCTCTAATGTTGTCTGATGCTCCACTGACAGGCTTCCCTTTATCGGGAATGATCCCATAAACAAAACCCTGTGCATTGCATACTTCCATCAACTTGAGCATGTACTTCAAAATCCCATCCTGGGCTCTTGCCATCTTCTTGCGAAGGGCTAGATCAGACAGCTTCTTTGGTTTAGACTTCTCCAGTTCGGCCTGCTCCAAAGCAAGCCTCTGCTGCTTCTCCTTGATCCTCTTGAGCCTGACCTTATCTTTCCACATCCGCCGGGCCAGCTCCTCAGCCTCAATCTCCTCATCGCTGACATCATTCTCAGAGAGGTTTGGGATGCCATCAACCTCAAAATCCGACACATCACCTAGCTCCTTCGCGACAATAGCTAAGTTATCCATCATCTCTAGTGCTTACTGCACTCAATAACATCACCCTACTCAACTTGCCACACTTATTTTCTTTGCACCATCAATCGAAGTAATATCTGCAACCTACAAAAATTCTGATGCAGTCAATATCTGAAAATGCAATGCTAGTCAGCTGTAAAAGAGCAAGCTTAGAATTGTGACCATACAGTGCGAGTGAGCAATATCTGACAGAACTGACAAAGCGACTTATCCCAATTCTATGTTTTTTTAATGGTGATTTTCTTCTGACCTGATCAAAGAAATAATGTGCACTGTGACGAGAACATCCTAGCATGTTACTACAAGATTTCAGCAACTATGGATTAAATTTGTAAGGAACCAAGACCATCCTTCTCCCGGTGCGCAAGCCATCACTACATTATCAAAGCCAATCGAGAAGATCTAAGATTAGAAACATGAGAACAATAAGATCAATCTATGTGAGGGGCATCCGTTCCGAACTTCCAACCCCACGAATCAATACAGAGACGCCGATGATCCGACGACTGCGGAAGGCGCGGCAATCTGAAACCCAGGCAAACCCTGGAAAACGGGGAGCAACGAACGGAATCAGGCGCAACAACTATCTATCGCCGACGAACGGGAACAAAAGAGACCAATCCCACCAAAAATCCCTCAGAAAAAAAAGGCAAGCGCGGCGCCGGTGACTACCTCGTCGAGAAACGGTCGCCGACGCGGCGGCGGGATCAGGCCGGGGGAGGAGAGGGGAGGATTTCTGCTGTCGCCGCCGCAGTTAATTTTCCCTTTTAATTCGGGGGACGGGGAAGAGACAGAACGGGCCAGAGGGCGGAAAGCGGCCGCGGTGGACACTGCTAGGGGAGCACGAAGCGTGACGCAGGGCGTGGCGTCACGGGAGATAAAATGGTGCTGTATTTATTATGCACCAAAAAATGTCGCTCGCGTTTCCGGCAGCCGGATTATGAGATGCTGTGTCTTTTTTCTAACTCTGTGGACGACCCTGTGGCGCTGGCTCCTTGCCCTGCGCACGCCATCCCAGGCTCCCAGCGTGCGCGAGTGTGGGTTGGTGTGGACACGCTCTCCACGGAAGATCCCGGTGCCCCGCGACCCTGAGTCAGCGACGATGCGCCTCGTTCGATTGCCTGTGTGAAGATAAGCCACCAGATTTCTCGTTTTGAATACAGGATTGTCTCCCTCAAAAAAAAAAATACAGGATTGTCCGGCAAAGTGAGCCGTTTACCATGGGTTTAGTACACGCACCTGTTTCTTTTTTTGCGACATTTGGTTTTTATATATACATACAAGATGACAAATCGACATATTGGATTTTGTCTCGCAAAAAAAAAAGACATACTGGATTTTGAGAGAGGGCCCATTTTCCCTCTGTATAACATTTTCTAAATAGAATATATGTAGACGCGTTTTAATGTGTTTGTTCACTTATTTTAATTTATATTTATTTAATATTAAAGTATGCAAATGTCTTATACTCCTTCCGTCCGGAAATACTTGTCGAAGAAATTGATGAATCTAGACGTATTTTAGTTATAAATATATTTAATTTTATTCATTTCTTCGACAAGTATTTCAGGACGGAGGGAGTAATAGTGAAAGGAGGTGGTATTTTCTTTTGACAAGTTGTCTGGCCTTGAGGAGCACAATTTCATGAGAGCAACACACTGTTCTATCAAATCGGAGGAATTTCATACGAATAAACACATCTTGCCAATCCTACATACTGTTCTATCAAGTGTCTATTTCTTCCAGAGAGAGAGAGAGAAGTGTCTAGTCTTCTTAAGTCCTCCATTTGCAGATTCATTACCTCCTTAAGTTGTGAAAGGCTCTAAGCTTCACACCTTTGGTAAAAGCAAAATTACTCCCTCAATTCCTAAATATTTGTTTTTTTAGAGATTTCAAATGAACTACCACATACGGATGTATACAGACATATTTTAGAGTGTAGATTCACTCATTTTGCTCCATATGTAATTATTTGTTAAAATCTCTAGAAAGACAAATATTTAGGAACGGATGAAGTACTACACATGCTATCATTTCGGATATGTCTTCCTTCTTTTTATGTCGTGGTTGTCGCTTATGACTGTCATAACTCGTTGCATAATCTAGAAAATAGACCATTCGTGAAAAAAAAAACTAAAAAAAAGAGGACGGTGTTCCACAAGGAGGTTGTGTACATAAATAGTTTTGAATCAAGGAACATTACGTTTATTGTACATTTATCTAATGTTATCTTTAACACCCACCCACCCCCCCCCCTCCCTCCAACACACAAATATACTTTTAGAATATACTCCCTTTGTCCGGAAATACTTGTCATCAAACTGGATAAAAAGGGATGTATCTAGATGTATTTTAGTTTTAGATACATCTCTTTTTATTCATTTTGATGACAAGTATTTCCGGACGGAGGGAGTATGTGTTTTATAGGTACATATCATACTTTCTTTGTCTCAAATTACTCGTATTAAATTTGTTTACATACAGATGTGTCTGGACATGTTTTAGTGTTAGGTAAATTCGTATCTATACAAATTCAAGACAAGTAATTTGAGCAATAAGGTAATACATTTTACTGTCACCTAGAGATGGCCAAACCCCGTTGGAAAAAAAGTGCATGCAAAAACAAAATTGCAGGGAAGAGTGATACATGCAAACTGACGACGTTCTGGACATTGTCGTCGCCATATTGAGTAATATGTGTATAGCTAATCGAATGATATTGAGTAAGCTATTCTTTTAAAAAGAAGCAAGACCCCTGGACTCTGCATAAAGCGTTGTGCACAACCATAGCTAATACTCCCTTCGTCCGAAATTACTTGTTGCAGAAATAGATAAAATTGAATGTATTTAGAACTAAAATACATCTAGATACATTCATTTCTTCGACAAGTATTTCAGGACGGAGAGAATATAGTGGTGACATAGTTGTGTTGCCCAAATTACATACTCCCTCCATTCACAAATACTCCCTCCGTTCCTAAATGTAAGTCTTTGTAGAGATTCTATTATAAACCGCATACGGATGTATATAGATGCAGTTTAAGTTTACATTCATTTATTTTGCTCTGCATGTAGTCCACCTAATGGAATCTATACAAAGACTTATATTTAGAAACGGAGGGAGTATAAGATATTTTAAATATTTTAATATAGACAACATACGAAAAAAATAAGTGCATAAACACATTAAAATGTGTATATATCATTTGATTCAGAAAAAACTTTGAATAGTATTCGTGAACGGAGGAAGTAGTATATTGTACTTCCTCCGTCTAAAAATACTTGCCATCAAAATGGACAAAAAGAGACGTATATCTAATAGATACATCCCTTTTTATCCATTTTGATGACAAATATTTCCGGACGGAGGAAGTAACAAACAATATATTTTTATTTTATCGGTTTTATTTATATCCCTGTATTACAGTAGTACTGTACGTTACCAAGGTTCACTGAATATGGCCGCCCCTTAACTCGGCAAGCAGCGACGCGTCCAGATTCGATGTATCTCTTCGTCAGCTAGCAAGTGGCACCACCCGTTTATCCCTTTTTTTAGAGGTATTTATCCTCTTGTGCCAAGTTTTTTTTTGTGTGATAAATTCCTCTTGTACCAAGTTTTTTTTTTTTTGAGGGCTTCCTCTTGTACCAAGTGAGGCTCCGCCCACTTCTATCCGATCCGGGAAGATTTCGGCCCATAATTCTTCCGAGAGTAGCAGACTAGCAGTAGCGGATGCTTCTTCTCAATTGCCTCAAAGAAAAGTAGATGCTTCTAAAAAAAGGAGCAATGGTGGTAGATTAAACTCACCAATGTTGTATCTCACTTACTGCAAGATGCAGCACCCTCTCGTAGTTGTGTTCGCATTAGTAGCCGGCCAATAGAGCGATTTTTTAAAAGGTTTACAGAATGGTATGAACCAGTTTTAGAACTTCTGCAGGTTTTTTTTGTGCTTTTATTTATTATTCTTTTTTTTTGTTTTCTCTATTAGTTTTATTTTGTTTTTACTTTTACTTTTATTAATAGAAGTCGATTTTATTTTAATAAACATTGAAAATCTTTTGTATGCACCTGCATCTTTTGTATGCATGTTGAATATTTTTCAGACACAATTTAAACATTTTTAAAATACACACTGAACATTTTTTATAATGCATGTTGAACTTTTGTCAAATGCACACTGAATATATTTTTTAAAATCTATGGCGGGCATTTTCTAAACACACATTGATTTTTTTTCATAAATGCCATGAACATATTTTTCAGATACATGTCGACTTTATTTCAATATGTGTTGAATATTTTTTGTATAAAGTTGAAAAAAAATAGATACACCTTGAAAATCTACCAAATACGTGTTGAACATATTTTCAAAATACATGTTCAACATTTGTCAAATGTGCATTGACATTTTGAAAATGCACGGTGACCATTTTTTAAACACACAATCAACATTTTTCATAAATTCCATGAATACTTTCTTTAAATGTGAACAATTTTTAAGTGTTTAACATTTTCTGAATGGTACATAACATTTCTGAAATTACGCAAACAAAATTTTACATTGTATGAACGTTTAATTAAATGTCACAAACATTTTAAAAAATATGTGAACATTTAAAAAATGTGATGAACAATTTTTTTGAATGATATGGATACTATTTACAAACTACGTGAATAAACTTTTACATATTTTTACATCTTCGTACAAATCAATCCAACGGGAAAGTGTGCAAGGAGATGACAAAGACTGATTTGCTTTGGCTTAAACTTAAATATAGGCTTCATCATAGTATTGTGACTACATCACTCTCCTTGCTCTTTCTTTGTTAGCCTTGTCTATTTATTCTGGTCGAGGACCTTTCTTTGTAATCTTATTCCCCTATGGATTGTACATTGTAACCATTTCTTTTCAATATAACACAATAGCAATCTCTGGTACTGTTTTAAGTCAAAGTAGAACTTTTTAGAAATTAAGTACTTTTTCAATATATATAAC